GCGCTTTTCTCATAAATGCATACATTATATAACAAAATTTTGCCACTCAACTGTAACAGGAACACATGTACTGAAATCACTAATTCACACATGTACTGAAATTACTAATTCATATAAAATTTAGCAAAAGAAGAAAAAAAAAATCTTTTCAGGAAGAAAAAGCTAAATGATGCAACAAGAGAATTTAAAATTGCTTACAGGTGCATGTTTGGATAAAATTCAAGGACAACAAAGTATGTCACATGGGAGATATTAGACCGCTCAAATGCTAGACGACTTTAATGACTAAAATTCAACATCGACTAATAACCGTACAATGCTCGATATACTAATACTAAAGCATTCACTCAAATAAATAACATGGGGAGAAGGTATAGATGTAAGCCATGTAGATCTCTGAGCAACATATGTTGAATCAACAAACTAATCCAAGTAGAATACCAACAATCCTTATTAGCAACCAATTCAGATACATAAACCTAGTCTTATATATCACATCTCATCTCTCCACCATCAGCGAGCTGAGAGATTGGATTTCAGTACGGAGTTTCATATTAAAAAAAAATGAATATGAATGGTACATCAGAGTGGACTGAAAAGTCAGGTATGAAACCCATGGAAAATGCCTTGAAAGGTTTAAACCCCAACCCCACAAGGTTTAGGGGGAAGGGGGGAGGAATACCAACGCTAAACTGAATTTAGGACCGTAAGAATGGAAAGAAATACACATCAGCACAGTAGATGCTTGTATTCTAAACATTTGTTACATGCATAGAGGGTCTAAATCAGAAAGACAAAGGAAAATGGGTGGAACTACCTGCAAGCTTCCTCCATCTGACAAAATTAACCCAGCCGCATTCGTTTTCCTCAACTGTGGAATAACTTCAGAGATATAAAAGGCAGGAGTAGTAGTAATCATAGGCTTAAAAGTTGGAGATCCTTTCCTTTTCTTTGCGTTCTTTAAGGTTGGTGGTAGATCCTTCACGATGATCACGTCATTTCTCAAGCTTGTTATGAACATTTCCTCATCATACAGCTATGAAAAGTTACTAAATTCTGAACTGCAAAATTTTCAATTATAAAGTAAGACTAAGAGAACAAACAAAAACAAGTTAATGTGTTCATATCTGTATCAATTATCAAAGTATCAAGTCAAAACGAACCGGATGCCTTTTGACTGAGTACCAACTTGGATCTTTGGGGTTACGAGGGTCGCATACAAAAGCCTAGCTATGGTGACTAGATCACAGATCTGAGCAAATCAGCAACATGTCACAGCCTAAAAGTTGTAGGGAATGAAAGAGTTAAAATCCCTTCTACAAGTAAATATGAGCATACCGTGGTCCTAATCTTCTCGAAAGAGCAAAAAATCTAGGCATAAACGAAGCCACTGTTTTTCTATAATGGAACTGCAAGAATGGAAAGCAAATTCTGATGAAGCAAGAGAGGGAGAGGATAAGAACTTCCAAGTATCAGAATGGAATTTTCACATATGTCAAATCTAAACATTAGAAAGAAAAACATGAAAATAGAATCTTAGCTTGTTAAGATGATAATTTAGCCCAAGTGAATGTCCTTGCGAGACCACTGCACGAATTGATGCCTAGAAGAAAGAAATTCTAATCTCTTATAATTCAATTTCCTCTCATTGACTTGTATTGGTGGACAATGTGAAAGCTTCAACTATATCAAGTACTCCATATTAATGATAAATATTATGATGAGAGATGAATGAGACATCTGAGAGGATGTGATGCATTCACAGGGCGTCAGTATCACCGTAAAAGAAAGAAAGATAAAAGTCAGCAAATCACAATGGCAAATCAAACTGATTTGGAAGACAAATAAAATCAAACAAATCTGGAAGACAAATAAATCAAACAAATCTGATAGACATGTCACTGTCAGGGATTTGAGATCCTTAGAGATTTGAGATATCATTTTCTGATTGCAATCTTTGAATTATTGTTTTCTGTTTAATTGTTTTCTTTATTTTATTTTCCAAGCTCTGTAAAGCCTATTTAAAGGCAAAAGCATGCAAGTTTTTAGCAAGAAAAGTCTGAGGGAGTTTCTGGAATTCTCAACAAAAAATTCCAACTTGATAAAAGTTTGCATAATTATATTCTTCTTAGTTTTCTGCCCAAAGAGTAAACATAGCCAACCCATCCAAAGCTCCGTCTACCCTCCCACTCACCCGAAGGCCTGTGACGAGATCTTATACACAAGCTGCCCGTAACATTGGTTCCGTTGCCGGCGTCATGGGCGATGGGGTGTTTGCGTCAAAGGAAGAAGTATCCAATCTGAAAGAATCCATAGATCGCCTTGAACAACTGATGGAAAAATTACTTGCAGATGGAGGTAAAACTGCAACAACAGAAGCTGCCAATCCTGATCAGGCCATGGTACATGCACCTGACAACATGAATCACATGGCTACTGCTCCTGGATCACATTTATGAGTAACAAATTCATGGCTCCTTTTCCTAAACGTCATTAGGTTGTCATCATCATCATTAGGTTTTCTGCCAACATACATCAATAACCCATTCATGGCTCCTTTTCCTAAACGTCTGAGCATCCGGTTGTTGATCACTCTTGTTCTTCTACGCTTCTAGCTAGATGGTTTTGTAGAAGTTATCGAGATGAAGATGAGTTACCTATTGAGATTCTAGGACAGATTGTGAAGAACTCAAATCATTTGTTCAAACATATCTATACAGGTGGAACTCAGAAGTGTGCAGGAAATGTGAAAACAGTTTGGACGAACAGATTATGGCATTAGCAAAAATGAAATTATTAAATTTAGGCGGCGTAATTATTTCTTATTCCATATTTGCCATGCTCTTTATTGTTCCGATGTAGAAAACTTTGTAACAAATATATTTAATACCCTGGACGTTTTATCTTCTCAAGAAATGGAACTATGGAAGGTATAACTTTTAAGCCTCCAAGGCAAGAATGATGCCAGACAATGGTGTAGAACAAACATTTGTAAATGATCTACCAGAAAGTATTATTATGCTGGTAGAAATTGAAATGAATTAATATGAGTTTCCTTTCAAAAAAAAAAAAAACTATAAGAAAATGGAACTTGGCTTTCAAATTATGTGAGAGTGTGAGACATATTCTGTTTAGGTCAACATGTTCGTAAATCTCCATATTTAGTCGGCCCAAATTGACATATTTAGGGGCGTTTGGATCTAATTCTTAATACCGGTTTTGCTTCTTAACATTGCCCTTGATGGTGTAGACCGGGTATTTAAAATCTATAAAACCACTCACCTTGACCAATGTCTTGTAAAGAAGACTTTCAAATCATCAAATGGGTAGATAGACTTTTGAGAAGAAGAAACCTGCTTGAAGCAGGGTCGTTGTGAACTTGTGACCCTCGACAGTTTCATCATAATTTATAAATGTTGATAATTTGGAAAGACGCATGGAATTCATGACATGGTTTTGGATCAAATTTGATCTTGGCATTTGCTACAGATAATTTAAAGTTTGTCAAATACCAAAGAATAGGGATGGCCCCGGGCCGGTTCGGGCCCGGTTCGGGCCTAGGCCCGGCCGGGCCTCGGGTCTGTTTTGTTGGGCCCGAGCCTGAACCGGTGGCCACCGGTTCCGGGCCGGACCGGGCCGGGCCGGGCCACCCGGTTAGTTAATTTTTTTTCTTTTCTTCCCCCCCCACCCCCTACCCCCCCCAAACCCCCCAAATCGGTCCTAAACATCAAGCCCAACTCAATAAAGCCCAAAAAAATGAAAAAATAAAAAAAAAAACAGTTTTTTTGGCCCGGACCCGGGCCCGACCCGGCCGGGCCGGTTCGCCAAATACAGGGCCCGAGCCCGGACCCGCCCCCCCACCGGGCCTAGGCCCGACCCGGACCCGGACCCGAGAACCGGGCCGGTTCCGGGCCCGCACAGTGGCGGGCCGGGCCGGTCCCGGGCCGGGCGGCCCGAACCGGGTCCATGCCTACCAAAGAAGTTGATTCTTTTTATAATCAGCCTTCTCAATTCCCTAACAGCCTATTGGGACTTTCATATGAGAAGGAATTGAAAGAAAAACTCTTTATCACTTTATTTGGCTGTTCATTAATGTAACTATATTTGTGTGCATCCGAACTGTATGTAACTATATTTGTGTCCATAACAGGATCATTATATGAGCTGTATATTTGTGTGCATTTAAATCTTTTTCATGTCAAACACTACTCCTAACTGATCACTCCGTATATTATACATTTGTACTGTTGTAATTGTGCTGCTGTACCTGCTTCTGCCTTCTGCTAGTATTCTGGTTTATGAATCTTCTAATAATGGGATAAACTTAATAAACTTAATTTCAATAATTAATCACTAAAAGTAGCTATTTTAATCAATCATTAATAGTTTCAACGACATTGATAAATATATTAGTACTAGACTACTAGTGTTTGCTCGCGCAAGGCACGAGAGTGTTTGCCTCCAAAAAAGTTACTCCCTCCGTTTCTAAAAGAACTTCACACTTTCCTTTTTTGGATGTGCCAAAATAAAAGTCACACTTCCCTTATTTCCTTATTTGGCAAAGAAATCTACATCCAAACAGTGTCAAACAGTGCCAAACAGTGTCCAAACAGTGTCTAAACAGTGTTTTCTACAGTAAAGTCAATTTATTTCCTTAATAATCGTGAAGTCAAACCGTGACTTTCTTTTAGAAATGGAGGGAGTATTTTTTTAGAAAAAATAAGTCACTCTAATTTTAAATGACCAATTTGCCACGATGCATAGTTATGGATGCCACTCAGGAACTTGTCCGCGAATATATTGCAAATGTCGTGGATTTTAAACTGTGAGAGGTGATTGGATCCACGATGATAATTTTGTTGCTTTTTAGACATCAGGGGCGGAGGGAGGGGTGGCCAGGCTGGGTCATGGCCCAGGGTAACTTTGTTTTTTATTATATACATACGGAGTATATAGTTTAAATGTTTTTTAGAAATTGGTCCAGTACAAAAAATAAATTGGCCCAGGGTAGAAAGGCCCAATGCAAAAAAACAGTCCACCACTAAGGCAAAGCATTGCTCAAGCCGTGCAGCAGCAGCCAGACGCGGAGACGCCAGAGACGGGTTCAGCCTTCAGTCATCACGCAAGTACGCAACGCATTACGCAATTGACGCACTCCGCACTCCCGCACCAGCCAGTACCCCAGCACCGCCGCATCGCCGGACGTCTCCGAACTCCGGCGCACCGTCTCTCCGTCTACTCTCCAAATCGTTGGAGACGCACCCTAAGGTGCTCGCTGACTCGCCGTGAGCCTGTGGTGTCGTCTGCTCGTCCGCGGATTGATGTCTGCTTGTCTTCTTCTCTTGGTCTCCAGTATCGACAAAGCCAATTTGTCAAGGTGAGGTTTTCGTCTGCGGATTAATTAAGTATTTTATTTGTTAAATTAATAAATTAGGGTGGGTTAGTGACTTAGTGTAATAGTGTGTCATTATTTATTTGTGTAATTGTATGGTTTGAATTGTATTATATAAAATTAGGAATGTTAAATGCGATTTGTGATTCTTTTTTATTGATAATTTTAGTAGGTTACAAGATTGAGCTGGATCTGGGAAAGTGCTGAACACTCCAAATTGGTTACAAGATTAATTCATCTTGTATTGATTTTAACTGTTTCGACTGTAACAACAGAAAAATCATTTTCTGCAATGAAACACGTGAAGAATGAAATTCGTAACAAAATGGAAGATGAATTTCTTTCCAATCCTTTGACCATCTTTATTGAATGGAATTTGCCAACAAAATTGACATTGAGTCTGTCATAGATGATTTTGCTAAGGTCAAAGACTGTCATGTTCAGTTAACATTTTAGTTTCAAACATTGTATGTATTGTTTAAAAATATGACTAGGAATTTTAATAGATTTTAATCATTATGTTCACAGTTTCACACTATTGTTGCTTTTAAAAAATTTATATAATGTTTTTAGAATTTTAGTGTGTAGTTGGCCCAGGGTAAATATCTGTCCTTTTTAGTACTTTTGGACACATCCTTCATCATTTTCGCTTTTCAGTTTCAGTTTTCTTATGGCATAAGACAATTAGAGGTCTTTTTATGATGACATTTAAATAAAATTTTCAATCTGCATGCAACAAAAAAAAGAATATGTGGTAGCAAAATAAAACAAATTAAGGAACACTACAATATAGCAAAGCGGAAAATGAAATTATTTAATTTTCTCATTTAACTGTCCCACCGTATTTACTAATTATTAGGCAACCTCCTAGTTTTGTGGCTACAAATGACTGGTTCTATAAGCTATAGTTCTCATGCACAAACAAATTAAGTATTCATTTTTTTCGTTAGACCGTTAGAATGTTTTGAGCTAACATACATTTAAATGATATAATTATGGAAAAATTGAAAATAATAATCCTAACTATTGCTGGTCCGCTGAAAATAATCCCAACTATTGATTATTTTTGTATAATCCCAACTATATAGACTATCCGCCAATAATGGTCCATGACCATGTATTACCTCTATAAAAAGTGAATTTAAAATAGAAATTAAGCGTAAAAATTAAAAGTTAAGATTATTTATAGGGATTACTTGTTATATCTCATCTCATCCACTTTAGAAACTACAAGAATTTATTCATAGGGACCATTATTGGCGGAAGGTCCCTAAAGTTGGGATTATTCTGTAATAATCAATAGTTGGGATTATTATGAGCGGACCGCCAATAGTTTGGATTATTACTATCAATTTTTCCTATAATTATTCATTTTTATATGGTACAAAGTGTGATTCAGAATATTTGATTTGATCAATAAAAATTGTATTTCATTTCATTCTTAGCCTTTTATACATAGTTAGTTGGAAAGTCTAATCGAGTTCTAAAATAATAAGCATCAAAATTAAAAAGAAATAATTGTAAATATATAACCAAAATAAAAGTATTGAACAAAAATGTGTCTCTAATAACTTTAGTGCCTATAATTGTTATCAAATATTACATCGTGGTGATTATAAAATTTTCTCTAACTTATAGTCACATTTTTATTCACAGAATTTTATTAGTAATATTTTTAGATAAATCCTCATATAGAAATGATTTATTGAGTTTGAACCAAGTATATTTCTTTCCATGTTTTCCTTTCCATTTCCCACTATATTTCCACTTTCAAATAATCAATGATATTTTCGACCGTGTAAATGTTACGAAGTACTCCGTATAATATCAGACCGTGTAAAAAGGGTAATATTTGCAGGTTCATGTAAAAAAGTGCCATCCTACTTAGTGGTAGCTTCTAACTGTTAGGAATCAAACTCACGCACTCGAAGAACAATAACGAAGAATACGTGAAATTTGGTAACCCAGTTCGCCACGAATGACTACGTTTGGAGGTACTTAGGAAAGAAAAAAAATATTACAACCAAGCCCGAGGACCGGACCGAGGTCTGGCCCGGCCCGAACCGGACCCGGTGGCAATCCGGGCCGGTCCCGGGCCTAGGCCTGAACCCCGTTTGGTCCATGCCTAGCCATAAGCTGCCATATATAAATATTAATTTATTTAACAATATTTTGGGAGGGAAAACTCATTTTTATGATCTTTCATATGACATGACACAAATATGTAATACATAAAAGGCTAAAGGGTCAAATAGACCCTCGAACTAACTAAAATAGTGCAATTCACCCCTTATATAGGAGGCTCTATCCGGCCGTCAAATTTTTAATCATCTTATTCATTAAGTCTAGGTTACTCATACCAAATTTCAGATAAAAATTCAACCAGGAAGACAATCAAATGATTTTTTGAAATGTACTACGCTGTTTAACTGCACAGTTATCTTCAAAGATTCATTTGACTGCCTCCCCAATTCAAATTTTTAGCTGAAATTTGATATTAGTTGATAAAGTATATAGACTTGGCCCCCACATCTCATGACTATTGGGTCTGAACAACGGTCTACACACGCTTACTAGATACTCCCTCCGTCCCTTATAACTTTGCCAACTTTCCTTTTTTGGATGTTCCATTAACTTTGACGTTTTCCCTTTTCAGTAAAGAATTCGTGGTTCCAGTTAATTCTCCTTCCTCTGCACAAACCACAACCACACAGTTTTTACTTTATTAATCCCCATGCCGGTCAAACTTGACAAAGATATTAGGGACGGAGGGAGTAACAAAAAAAATGTTCACATTTCTAAAACTTCCCATCATACCCTCAATAATTCTGAAAATAATACACTATTACAACTACTTTTTTTTGGATTTATCCCACATTCCATCATATTATTTCACTATCTTCCTCTAATACCCTCAATAATTCATATCTTCTTTCACTATTCTTAATCTACCTACTTTTGAAACGTGAAAATTTTTACGTTATGAAAGTAATAGATTATTGTACAGTCTTTATATCACTTGTATCTACTAGATTAGCCATTGATGTAGTTGGATTTTTCGGACCCATATTAGAGACACAGCCCAAGCCCATTGTTTCTCTATTTATATTCCACTTGGAGCCTCTTGTAACCCTATTTCCCCTCTTGTAACCCTATTTCCCAACTCCCATTGGCAATACACAATTACTATTCATCATCTTCTTCCTCACACCTCACACCATAGTTCAACTCTCCATTGAGAGTTTGAGTATAATTAAGCGAAAAAACCTTCCAAAAACACCCAAAATTCATCCAAAATAGAAAAAAAAAAAACAGCCAAGAAACTGTTCTAAGAAGGGAAAAGAATCAGATCTGGAATTCCCATCTGTAAAAATGGCGGAATCCAGACCAGCTTCTAGAGAAGAAGGGGATGACCGTTGAGAGCTCCTGGGTCCACTGCTCCAAGACCGGTCGTGACGCGAGGGACAGAAATCTCCGGCGATCCATCTGCTACCTGCGCAGCGAGCGACCCCAAGCACGAGTTCTGCCAACTCCAGTACAGCGCTGCTCGCGCAGCTCCTTGTCACTCTGCCACCGGTCCAGTCTCCATCGCAGCTCAAGAAAGTCAAAACCTCGACTGTCCGCCATGAATGGCTGCCTACAGATCTTTGCTCCCATGGAAGGTGAAGCCTGGAGCGCACATACCAACAACGGACGAGCATGAGTTAGCCAAGGCGTGAGGTTTTTTTCAACTAGCAAGGACGGTTCCCGACCAACGCATCAACTGGCGGAGACCCACGCAGGCAGATCCAGGGCGCCGGAAGCGTTGACTCGCCCAAGGGAACACTTCTGCGGACTCCAACCTTGTTTCAAGGAGTCTTCTGAAGGAGACGTGGCCCCTGGCCATACCTCACATCCTAGAGTATTATTCTGGCAGACCAATTCGCCCAAATACAAATTATGACCGGGCAATCCAGCGAATAAGAGCTAAGTACCTTAAAAGCCCAATACTCCTAATTTTTGCATACAACATTAGATAGTAGTATGATCATTAATATTACAGTATTATTTATTGATCAACTTTTCAACATTTAAGGAAGTGAAATAATTTGTGTTAACTTTCCATTTATACCCCAAAAGGAAGTTACCCCCATGTTCACAGTAAAAGAAAAACGGCTCATTTTCTTTCCCTTGCCCCAGTCGATATATTCCCCGCCGCTACCTCCGTCGTCTTCCCCACCGCCTCCGTCGCTCTCTTCCCCCTCATGGAACCAGTGCCGGTCCCGAGTTCACTTCTTCTCCATCTTTTGAATTCATGCCTTTTAAACCGTCGAATGTATGAGAAACAAGGTTGAATCTGTATTTCTTACGCAAACGCCAGTTCGGATTTGTTTCAGATGAGCTTTGAGAACCAAATTGAACTATGAATAGTCTGTAGGGATCTGACTCGTGGTATCTATTTGCATACCATTGAAGTGGCGGTGCATTCTCAGCTTCTGGATTTACACATGACTCAATCTCGGATTTTGAGGGTCCAATCTCTGCATCGTGTGTGGGTTTGGGAAGCTTAGCCGCCTTAGGGTTTTCAGGAGGTGATCCTTTCGGATCCGTTGAAGAGAGGAGAAGGAAGGGGTGGCGATGGAAGTGAGGAGAAAGAAGGGGTGGCGATGGAAGTGAGGAGATGGAGGGGTGGAAGTGAGGAGAAGGAGGGGTGGCGATGGAGGTTACGAGGCGATGGAGGGGTTGAAGATAGAGAGAGGTGATTAAAGAGAGAAGATTCGGGAGAGTAAATGGAGTTGCGAATAAAAGTGGGCCGAGCAAATGGGTAAATGGGATAGGAACATAAAGGGTATTTCATATTAAAAACTTTCCTAATTTGGAAGTGTGAAGTTTAATTTAGACCGTCCCAAAAAAGAAAGTGTAAAGATTAATAAAAACCGGAGAGAGTATTATGCTATCGCCACCACCGTTATAACGGGATAAAATCCTCCGAGGTGGTGAAGACCGTTATGGTGGATTAATATCCCCCGAGGTTACTAATGATACATTATTATTGATGTTATTATTATTATTATTATTATTATTATTATTATTATTATTATTATTATTATTATTATTATTATTATTATTATTATTATTATTATTATTATTATTATTATTATCATCATCGTCGTCATCATCATCATCATCATCACCGTCACCGTCACCATCACCATCATCATCATTATTATTTATTTACTTTTACTAGTTTTATAGAGCAAAGATTGAAGCAATTTGAGCGTAGAATGGTAAATATTAGTTAATTCTATTATTAAAGAAAATAAGAATAAGTAGATGAATAAAACATTAGGGCAATATATACTACATATTAAAAAGATTAATATTTCTATTTTTATATATATTACTCCCTCTGTCCCAATATAAAAGGCACATTTGCGTTTGGGGAGTTTTTAAGGGTGAACACTGTTTGACACTGTTTAGACACTGGTTGGCACTGTTTGGACACTGTTTGGCACTGTTTTGCACTGTTTTGTTTGCCAAAAAGGGAAATGTGCCTTTTATATTGGGACGGACCGAAAAAGAAAGTGTGCTTTTTATATTGGGTCGGAGGGATTATTAATTATTAATTTTATTATTCTATTATGATTTTATATTAATACTATTAATTAATTTATTAAAGAAAATAGAAAACCAGTTAATCCGTTCCAAACCGGAACAATCCAGTTTTTAACCAAAACATGACCACGGACTTCAAAAACAATATTTGAAAACCGAAAATCAAACCGGATATCATCCGGGTCGGGTCGGCCCCATTTTTTCAGTCTAGTCCGGTTTACTGGTTTGAACCGGTTTGTGCACACCCCCTAATTGTATTTAACATAATTTGTGCAGCTCTTTGAGCTCTACGCTTCACAAAGTTCAGAAATAGAAAAATAAGAACTCTTTATATTTTTGTTTATTTTATTTCTTTTTGTTTTTCTTGAATTAAAAGAAAAGGAAAAATTATTGCCTTTCCCCGACAACGGCGCCAAATTTGACAAGCACTTTGTCGTGGTGTGCACTCAAAATAATAATACAATACAACACTTATACGTAGTATAACGTAATAAGGTTCATATCCACAAGTAGTCATGGACCCGGATCGGGCCGCCCGGCCCGGCCCGCCACTGTGCTGGCCCGGAACCAGCCCGGTTCTCGGGTCCGGGTCGGGCCTAGGCCTGGTGGGGGGGGGGTCCGGGCTCGGGCCTTGTATTTGGCGAACCGGCCGGGTCGGGCCCAGGTCCGGGCCAAAAAACTATTTTTTTTTTGTTTTTTCATTTTTTTGGGCTTTATTGAGTTGGGCTTGATGTTTAGGACCGGTTTGGGGGGTTTGGGGGTGGGGTGGGGGGGGGAGGGAGGGGCGAGAAAAGAATAGGAAAAAAAAAAACTAACCGGGTGGCTCGGCCCGGAACCGGAACCGGACCCGGAACCGGTGGCAACCAGTTCGGGCTCGGGCCCAACAAAATAGACCCGAGGCCCGGCCGGGCCTGGCCCGAATCGGGACCGCCGGCCCGAGGCCATCCCTATCCGCAGGGAAATGAATACCTCTCTTTTTACAAAACTAAAAATAAGTATCAAGAAGATTTTTTAGATTGTTTGATAAACTTAAATTATATTTAAACACTAAGATGAACGACTTATGTGGTCTGTTTTAATGACCCAACATGTTATTCCTCTATTTATACACATGCTCCTACTATAAATAGAGGCCCATCCCAGCCTCTTGTAACCCTAGAACATAAGCTTACACTCCCTACTATTCCTCTTCTTTCTCACCTCTCCATGGCTCAAATCTCTTCTAATTATATATGTTTGGATCTATGTTATCCATCCAATGGTGTTTTCATTGAGAGTTTAAGCAAAAAATATCCATAGTTCATCATTCCCAGAAAAAATCTAGTCAAGACTGTTATCCGAAATTCCCAGGTCCGGAGATGCCACCGTCGGTGCGCAGTCAGCTGAATCTTGCTGCCACCTGCTCCAGATGTTAACTTGCTGCAGATCTCGCAAATCGTGGCTGCAGAACTCGCCTGCGTTGCTTCAAGTTATGGTTGTCGCAGCCTTGAAGGACTCCACACCAAACCTCGAGCTGTGGCCTCCGTCAGTCGTCGTTGAGCGCTGCCCATGGTTTTCGTCTCCAAGAACTTACCCTATCTAGGCAAGCCTCGCAGAAACTAGATCTTAGCATCTCCGCCATTAATGGCCGGTGGGAAGGAAACATAACCTCAAAACGGCAATGGTTCCTCCACCGCTCCATTCGCAGAGCCGCCAAACGCCGTCTGCAGCTGCTCTTTCTCCTCACCGGTCTCTGGTCGCATCTCTCACCGCCACCTCCGGCGCGAGTGTCCCCGCTGAGAATCCCTTTTATCTGACAGCGATATCCGAGCATACACCAGGTGAAGGATACGGCCAAGGCTCCCTCCGCCCCTCTCTCCAGTCATCGCAGCAACTCCGAATGGCGCATGGGCCTTTCTGGCGGTTCTCAACGGCGGAAACAGCCGGATGCGTGCCATCACCGCGGATTTTATGGTCTGAGCGGCTGGAGTGTCTTCGAAGTCGTGCTTGCTCTTGTAAACAGCAACTGAATGCTTTCCCTTGATTTTGACCAAGTCAAAATTAGTGGGTGAGGTCAAAGCAAGTCTCATCAACATAAACGGCCCAATTGAAAGCTAAGTAGCTAAAAACTCCTTTCATTTATTAATTTTCCGTAACAAATTTGATAAAAAGACTTACAAAAAAACATAAATGAAATATTTTAATAAGCTGTAGAGGATCACAACAACCCTGCTTCAAGCAAGTTTCTTCTTCTCTAAGTGGTTATAATTTGGAAAGACCATGGAATCGATGACTTGGTTTTGGATCAAATTTGCTCCTTGTTATAACCAGTGGCGTATCCAGAAACTTTGGCGAGTGGGGGCAAACTTGACTACAATTTAGTCTCATATTTCACAAATAACAAATCACATTATTAATATTATTGTTTGATTAAATTTAGTTTATAATATCTATGTACAAGTATGAAAAAGAAGAAGATTAATTTACATTACGGGTGTGTAAAGATGTAATTGCAAATAAAATGTAATAAATTTACCTAACTATAAGTTAAACAGTCTTAAACATAACAAAATTTAGTGAATTTTTTAGCCTTTCATTCTTTTAATACTAAAGAAAACACTTCTAATCCTATTTTAGAATTTTTTCTACTAACTCTTAATTTGAGCAATTTCTTGTAAACATTTGGACATATATATAGGGGTTGAGTTGGGGTTGAGTGGGGGCAGCTGCCCCCGCTGCCCCCATAGTGGATACGCCACTGGTTATAACTTTTTTGTAAGGTTGGACTTGCTTATTTCTTTATTTTATTCATAAAATATGTTTAAATATAATTTTTAGCCAATTTCATTAATTCCCGCATATTTCAACCAATTTCGGTGTTACCAAATAAACTCTTAATATATAAGAAGTGTAACATATAATGGATGTAACAAAGTTCCAAATATACTGCAAGTAAAATAGAACACAATATAACACAATAAAGGGGTTTACTCGTATGCATGCTCGATCTCTTGTTTTCTTGAGGAAATTGGCTTGTAATATTTGAACCACTTGCACATATACTGTCATTTTCATGATTGAAAAATACACTCATTAATTATAATAAATACTGTCATGTTAAATGGACTATACTGCAACTAATTGGTAGTCACACCTACAAAATGGCCGTAAATGCTGTCATGTTAGTCCTATTTCGGAAATAAAAACATAGTAGTCATATTTTGAAATTCCTAACTGCATTTACTCCTATTTTGTGAAATCTCTCATTTTAGATTTATTAGATTACCTTTGTAATTGCTATAACTAACCACCTTATTAAAAAATTGAAAATTGTTATTTTGCAGAAGTTAAAGTTATGCTTTCAACTTTTAGTTTTAAAGTGCTTAACTTAAGCTGATGTTATCACTTGAAAACACCAATTTTAATTTTTTAAGCTAGAAATTAATTGTTTATTATTTTTTTCAAGTTCGTGCAAACACTCCCATAGTAAAAACGATTTAATGTGTATGAGAATACATTCATAATATATATTTTCATTTCTAAACAAAAATCAATTATCAGGTTTTTAAATATAGATTATTGGTTTTGGTTATTGTTAAATAATGCAAGCTATTGTCAAAGGTGTACATGTTTAATCATAAGTAATGTATAATTTATGTTCATTAATTTAATTTTGTGTCATTTTTTATTAGTTTGGGTCCCGTGCAACACACGTGTGTAAGACTAGTTCACATATATGGGGAAAAAAGTTTAACCCAAAAATTCAATTTCTCTCCTTTCTTGGATAGTCGGCCTTCATGGAATGATACGTTTTTAGGAATATGGATTTGCTTCTCTTATTTCTTTGTCTAAACACCAAGCCGTATCCTTTATGACCCATTCTTCTTTCCAAGAATTCTGGACAATCCAATATGGCACACCAGTTGATGATACTCCGTAGCCAATTATTAGGACCACATGATATAAAAATAACTTTTGAGATTTCAATTCCTGTTTGGTTGGTCCGTTGTAGATTCCCTATTTATATGACATCATATATTATGCTTTTAAAATACTATTTTGAGCATGTAATATATACGAGTTGTTTGTTGGTTTTGTCTGTTAAAACTCGAGATATTCAATAGAGTTCCAACAATAGGCTGCTTAATTAGAACGCGTTGCGACTCTACATCATCAACGTATGAACAAATAAACATCTCATCAATTTGATAAATTATGTTTGAATACAATAGTAGTAATTAGGTACTTATATTTGAATGATACCACTTTGAGTTACTACCAATAAAAGAGCAAATTGTTTCTTCAAAAAGTTCATCGTCACGCATGTGGTCAATCACATCATTAAACTCCACCACTACCCGTATGACATGTGTAACATGATTTATCATATGTTGCATTGAAAGTTGAGTTTGATACTCCGGTTGTTTCCCAATATTGAGCAATGCTTCAACCGCTCTAGTCATTGAAATTGCCCAACATATAGCTACAAAGTGATAACTCACAAATTTATATATAATGATAATAAAAATATTATCGCCATATATCAAAGAGGTTGATTTTTGTAAGTCATCATACATCACAATCGTATATTTATATAATGTAAACTCCAATATTTTAGGTTGCCCAATTTAAACTCTGGTATTCTATAATATAGCAATATTGGAGGTTGGCAATATTGGAGGATACGTTATATATATATAGCGATTGTGGTGCATGACGACTGACAACAATCAATGCCTTTGATATATGTTAATGATATTTTCATTATCATTATATATAAATTTCTGAGTTGTGATTTTGTAGCTAGACGTTGGGCTATTTCAATGACAAGAGCGGTTGAAACATTGCTCAACATTGGGAAACAAACGTAGTAGCGAACTCAACTTTCGATGCAACATATGTGATACATCATGTTCCCATACGAGGAGTGCTGGAGTTCAATGATTTGATTGACCAAGTGCGTGACGATGGACTTTTTGAAGAAACCGAGTGCTTTTTTATTGGTAGTAAATAAAAGTGCTACCTTACAAATGTAAATACCTAATAAGTGTAATCACTACTATTGTGTTCAAGCATAATTTATTATTTTTTGAATACTGATAGTTCATATCATTTACGGTACCAATTTAATGATAGGCTACAACGGTACGAATTGATGAGATTTTTAGTTGTTCAGATGTGATAATTTGAAGTTGCAACGCGTTCTAGTTAAGTAGTCTATTGTTGGAACTTTGTTGAATACTCCGAGTTTTAACAGACAAAACAAACAAACTGTAAGTGCAACTAATATGTATATATATTGCATGCTTATAATATGTATTTTAAGAGCATAATATGATGTAATATAAACAAGGAATCTACAACGAACCAACTAGGGGTGGGCATAACTAAGCCTGGGTCCGAAAAATCGAAAACCGAATCAAATCATACCGAACCCTAACCAAATAAAACCGAATCGCTAACAAACCGAAACCGAATGTAAAAAACCGAACCGAACCGTAGTTGTTTGGTTCGGTTTTGATTTTTACTCTTCAAAACCAAATCGAATCGAACAAACCGAACAAATTAAAATATAAAATTTATTTGTCAATTGTTAAGCATTAATCCTAACAAATCCTAATATCATTAATAGTCTTTGGTTTTCTTGTGCTAGAGAAATAATGTTTGTGTTATGTTTAGTTTAGTTTATAAATTCATTTACACATTCATTGTCCGTAATAATGTAGCTATACGGAATGATGATAATATGTTTTTACTAGTTATTAGTATTAATTAACTTTTATTTTTATTTAACTTAAATAATTCATATTGATGAAACAATAAATATTCATCTCAACTATATCACATAGAACGTATATAATTATATACTCATGATTTTTTTTAACTAGTCACAAACAATGTAGATTAATAATATATACTTTTATCTCTCTCGCATACTCATATAATTCAAGACATATTTATTTATTTTCATTTTTATTTTATTTGTTGTAGTGTGCTTGCATTCTTTATGTAATACTATGTATATGTTTGATCCCTCAAAGTATTATAACAATTTTAAATCAAATGATAATTTTATTGGCAAAAAACCGAAAAAACCGAAACCGAATCGAAACAAACCGAACCAATCAAACCGTGGTTCCAAGTTTTGAAGTGTAAAACCGAACCGAAACCGAACCGAACTTTTTACTTTGATTCTATATTTGGTTTTAGGTCAAAACCAAACTACAAGAACCGAACCCACCCCTAGGCATAACGGTTTGGTTTAACCGAACCGTACCAAACTGAATCGAAACCGGACCATATGCAATTTGGTTTGAGTTTGGTACTATTTCTTTCAAACTGTATTAAACCGAACAAAAACCGAACAAAACCGAATCGAACTAAAGAAACTCAAAAAAACTTTTAAATATTATTAAAATTGGTGGTTTGATTTGGTTTGGGTTTACTTAAGTAAACAGTTTGGCAAACATTTGCTCAAAGCGAATGATTTGGTACTTTGGTTTGGTTTGGTTTAAAACGGAAAAACCGTAAATCGAATCGAACACCGAACAACATATACACACACACACTTTGTATCTATCTTCACTCTTCATTTTTAAGATATAAATAAATAATTTAGACATGAAAATACATATTTAAGCATATACTCGTATCATTTTAACTTTTACACATTTCATACATTCATTATGACAAAGTTAGCTAATACGACATATTTGTATTTATTATGTTTGGCGATAGCAAATTGCATTTATATTTTTACATGATTCATTTCAATAAAATTGTGAATATTACAACATTTGTACCATCGACTCTTTTAGGTTTTTTGAATATTTTACGTGATATTATAAATGCTAATCAACTATCTTTTTATTTGTAAGAAATGAATTTTTTGTAGTGATAAAAAAGATGTTAGAAGTTTCAATTTATGATATTTTTTATTTATTTTTACATCTTTGATTTCCTTTTACATTTTATTTAAATAATCAATAAATTAAAAAAAGATGAGATGGACTACTCTTTCATTTTCTAATTCTGAAATATAGAACTTGATCAAATTAAATAATAAACATAAACAAACGAATCAAATCAAGCTAAATTAAACATAATATTTTTTTTATTTTGGTAAACCAAACTTTAAACCGAACCGAAACCAAACCGAAACACAAATGGTTTTAGTTTGGTACAAATTCTCCCAACCTGAATAAACCGAAATCGAACCGAAACCGAAGAAAACCGAACCGTAAGCCGAATTGCCCACCCCTAGGACCAACCAAACACGAATTGACATCTCAAAAATTATTTTCATATCATGTGATTCTAATCATTGGTTACGGAGTATCGTCCATTGGTGTAACATATTGGATTGTCCAAAATTCTTGGGGAGAAGAATGAGGTCATAAGGGATACGACTTGGTGTTGAGACAAAGAAATAAATAAAGCAAATCCATGTCCCTAAAAACGTATTATCTCATGAAGAGCGGCTATCCAAAAAAGAGAAGAAATTGAATATTTGAGGTTAGACTTTTTTTCCCATATATGTGAACCAGTCTTACACCCGTGTGTTACACCCGTGTGTTGCACGAGACCCAAAACTAATAAAATATGACACACAATTAAACTAATGGTCATAGATTATATATTACTCCCTCCGTCCCCAAATAAACTTTCAACTTTTTTTTTCGTCCGTCCCAATTAAAACTTCCACTTTCCCTTTTTGGTCAGAATTTGTGGTTCACAACAATTCTTACACATTTCTCTCTCCTCTGCACAACTCTTCACCACACAATACCACTATCTTAAACTGTGTGCTAAACCTATTTGGAAGTTTTATTAGGGACGGAGGGAGTACTTATTGTGTTTTAAAGAATCATAATTCTAATAAGATAACATGTGTGAGTGAATGATTCAATATGTAAACCTTTGACAACAGCTTGCATTACTTCATAATAACCAAAACAAATAATCTATATTAAAAAAACCCTGATAATTCGTTTTGTTTAAAAATGGAAATATATCTTATGAATGTATTCTCATACATAATAAACAGATGTTTTACTGTGGGAGTGTTTGCAAGAACTTGAAAGAAACAATAAACAATTAATTTTCTAGTTTAAAAAATTAAAATTGGTGTTTTCAAGTGATAACATCAACTTAAGTTAAGCATTTTAAAACTTAAAAGTTAAAAACAGAACTTTAACTTCTACAAAATAACAATTTTTAATAAGGCGATTAGTTATAGCAATTACAAAAGTAATCTTAGATTTCCCAAAATAGGAGTAAATGGAGTTTGAAATTCCAAAATAAGACTACTATGTTTTTATTTCATAAATAGGACTAACATGACGGTATTTACGGCCATATTGTACGTGATGCCAAGTAGTTGTAGTGTAGTGCATTTAAAATGACAATATTTATTATAATTAATGAGAGAATTTTTCAATGATGACAATATTTTTCATACATGGCAGTAACAACTCCTATTTCAGGAAGAAAAACATAGAAGTTCAATTTTGGAATTCCAAACCTCATTTACTCCTATTTATGACAATTTCCCATCTAAAATGAAATGAGCAAACTAAGCAAAAACCTTGGCCATAATTACGAAATGAGCAACTTATCTCCTTTTGAAACATTAGCCTAAGAGAAGAAATACGTTTTACTTGAATAGAAAAAAATGCCACTTAAATTTACTTACCATAACAGTGTATTAAATCCAATCCAAAATGGAACTAAAAGGAAATATGTTTGACAGGAACATAGACAATAATACTAATAAGAATACTAATAGTATTGAAGAGTGTAATAGAGTTTAAATGTAGATTCTGGGCCATTTTAGTAAATAGGTATAATGGGCCAGTCCTTAATTAAATAGAAGTACTATAAATAGTAAGGAAGGGGGAACGCAGGAGGTAGGCAACTATTCTGTTGGAATAGGCTAGGAGACTAGGCATCTTGAATTGTCCGTGGCTATTTGATTCTTTCTGTAAACATTCCCTACTTCAATAAATCTTCTTGATCATCTGCTTGATTTTCTACTGTTCTTAGTTGAAGTATCCCAAGGTTCTATCAAAGTTGCTTAAGCTGAACCATAATAATGCTCTAAGATTGTTGGCCTAGAAAAGATGAAAAATAATTAGTACTCTTCTTCTTCTTCTTACCATTCTCTATGTTCAAACTTCTATTCCAAGGAGTTAACAAAAGAATTGAACAAAAAATGCATTTATTTTCTTCTTGCTATCGATGTGCAAAAAAGTGTAGTCATTTGATATTTGGTACTTTCTTAGACAAAAGTAAGATGAATGGAATAGATCTATGTGTTTAAAAGAAAATAATTGCAATCAGTGGCCACAGTCTTATGGAAGATTTAAAACGGATGTTTAAGTAATGACCATTTTTTGTTTTTGGAAAAGAGAAGATTTTATTGATAAAAGGGGTACAAAAGCTAATGAGAGGATAAAGTTGAACAAGGAAAAACAATATTGAGAAAACTCAGCTACTGATAATTCCTTGTAGGCGCCTTATTTCTGTCATGTTTGAATATTCCTTGTAGCCACCTCATTTCGTTTCTTAGTTTTCTTGGACACTACTTTTGTGACCTCTTCTTCTAGTTTTTCAATTGATACAGGAGGGTTCAGCAGAGATGAATGCAATGTTGATAATTTCACTACTTCTTTAGCTTTTTTTCTTTTGAAGAAGTTCAGTCTTTCTGAAACAATTGAGACTCGACTTTTATTTTTGCAAGACAGCTTTTGAATTTTTCATTGTTAGTATCCAAAATAGAGTCATGAACTTGAGCATCGCTATCCTTGATCTTTTGAATAGGTCTCTCAGACTCAAGGGAATCTGTTAAACTTTGCTCTTTAACTTCGAGAATGAGGCCCTTTGAGCTCTCCAAGTTCATTCATCTCGTACTCTTGAAACTTTTGCACATTAATCTTATCATTTAGCTCCAAGGATTTCTCAACTTGAGGGTTGCCTGTATCTTCCTTCTTCTCAGCTTGTAATGCAATCGTGAGAATCATGACCAAGATGCTTGCACTCATTACAATAAAGAGGCACACCTTCATAAACTATTGGCTGCCAAATGGAAAAATTGTCATACCCAATACGAATCTCTGACAGACTGGGCTTTGAAACATCAATTTCCACACACATTCTAGCCAAATATAATCTACTTTTATTTGATGTTTTCTCATCAACTTTAATGGGTGAACCCAAATCTAAGCCAGTCGTATGCAAAATAGCCTTGTCATAGAATACTAAAGGCAATTTAGGAAGAGAATTCCACACCGGGGCTACTGGGGATTCAACCGGAGGAATGAAATCAAAGTTATGTTTCAAAACACGCATAAGAATACCTTGAATGTACCATACCTGTTTGTGCATGAGTGTGTAATAGTCATAGATCGATTCTAATTTAATCAAAACGTGTTTCGAATCCAGAGAACCAATGAAGAAAGCCTTGGACAATGCTTCTAATAAATTCTTTTTATTAGATTAAATTGATAATTCGGTATATAAAACACAATTATAGAGTGCGTTAACTTCAGGTGCTGAGACCGGAATAAAGGGCTTGACATATTCACCAAATGCTTTCCAAAGAGCAGAGAGATTTACGTTGGCCTCGATTTACAGAGCTTTTATGTTGGCCTCGATTTAAAGTAATTTTCAATCTGGGATTTCCGCCCGTCAAATTTCCAATGGGGAAACCCTCGCCGCCCCCTTTGAATATAATTTTTTTTCCCAGAGAGATTTTTCAATGTCTAGAACGTCATCAGAGATCCCTGCCGGTTGATTCGTCGCTGAAATCAGAGCTTTTATGTTGGCCTCGATTATTGATTGCCGCTTTCGCAGGGGTGGGAACTGGAAAGCTACTGCCATCTTCCTTCTCATTATTAACCCGATGACTAACCGTGGCCATTTTTCTTTGAATACAAAAGGGAGGAGCAAATAAGACACTAGGATAATTTCAGGAGCAATGAGACCACTAAGGTAAACCTTCTAAGAGCATATAAGACACTAAGCTAATTTTAAGAGCAAAGAAACACCTCCCTTAAATGAATTAATTACTACGTATATATCGTCTTCCCATTAATTTTTTTATTGATCACACTTGGGGACTTAAATAAGAATTTAAGACTAAACAAATCAAAGCATGTCAATGGGTTACAGTATCTTGTACTATTTCCGTTCTCTTTTAATTGTGCTAATTACCCGAAGAGTCTAATTTTGTGCTTAGTATTTCATTTATGTCCAGCTATGTATTAGTTTTCATATTTAACTTTCAAATTTTCAATTTAGGTTTCCTTATTTCAAAAAGAGTCAAAACATTAAATGCAATCAAATCACAAAAATCTGGCTCTGCATCGACAATCGACATCTGTCTTCATCTCCTAGAAGCTTCGTGTCTGTCCATCTTTCGTATTTGTCGATCAATTTCCAGCTGCCTTACCATAAACTCCACCTTAAATCGTTCGTCGCCGTTGCTCTCTCAATCGATCTCAACATGAATTATCAGATCCCTAATTCGACCGTCAAACAAATGCTGATTTTGAGGGTTCCCGACATCGTTTTTCCACTGCAACTTGTTTCATTCGTTCACGTTTAACGTCAGACCGATTGATAATAATGAACTGCCGATTCATTATACAATTTCTGAAGCGCATCAGAAGAGAATTGGGTGGAGAAAATACTGAAGCTGCGACCTAATTCTTACATTTGTGAGGTAAGGTTTCTTCTTGTGAAGTTTTCAAGCAGATCGTGGCACTTGTGATTTGTTATATATGACTATAGAGATGAAAAAAATGTTCACCAAGCAAACAAGGACAAAATGCACAAGTATACTTTTGATTCACTAACACACACTCGCATACATGCATATATATATGTCTTTGTATCAATGTATATGGGTTAACACATGTTTCTCCTCTGAAAACGAGAATCTATAAAAAAATGTTCATATTATTGCAATGAATGATTGGTTATATGATACTTAATCAATGAGCATTTGAGTAGTTAATTGCAATTTAATTTCATAAAATTCATAGGCATTCTCTGCACTCAGTGTGTATTGTCCTTTAGATTTCCAAAGACGAACACACTATGTGGCCATTTGGGTGTGTATTCACGTTAAGGTTGTTCTGAATTCTCGAATATCCTATCCCTAGATTGTTTACTAAGAATGCTTAGCTTCTGCATATGCAATTGACCAATATTTCATCCAAAGCATATGCACTTGACCAATTGTTCATTTAAGGCATATGCACTGGACCAATTGTTCATCTAAGGATTCTCATGTCTGTATTAATAATGTAGTAATTACCTAAAATAGGGTTTCCATATTTTGTTGTTTCCTATTGTATTTTGGACACTTATTCTATTATAAATATGGAAACCCTATTTTATGGTCTCAAACATGCTCCAAGAGCCTGGTTCTACAGGTTTAGTAGTTTTCTTTTAACTCATGGTTTGTCTACAGTAAGTCTGATAATTCTTTATTTATTTTTCGGCAAGGGGGTCATATTCTCTATTTGCTCCTCTATGTCGATGATATTATTATAACTGGTAATTCCTCATCTTTCATCACTCATTTTATTTCTTGTCTGGGCCGCCACTTTGCTATGAAAGATCTAGGGGATCTACATTTTTTCCTGGGTGTCCACGCGGTCCGTCTGTCTCAAGGGTTATTTCTCTCACAAAAGAAATATGTGTCCGATTTATTAGCCAGGTTTCATCTTCATACTCTTAAACCAGTTCGTACCCCTCTTCCTTCTAGGACGAAACTATTCTCACTGATGGTGACCTTCTGGCGGATCCTACTGAGTACAGGAGTATGGTAGGTGCTTTACAGTATTTGACTATGACTAGACCTGATATTACATTTGCTGTTCACTTGGTTTCCCAGTTTATGCATGCCCCCCGTACTTCACATATGTTGGCTGTTAAGTGTATTTTCAGGTATCTTCAGGGGTCTCCAGATCATGGCCTGTTGCTTCGGCCACATGCTTCCTCTCCTACACTACAGGCTTATTCTGATGCTGATTGGGCTGGGTGTCCTGATAGCAGTCGCTCCACTTCCGGGTTTGCTATATTTTTGGGGCCTAACTTAATTTCTTGGAAGTCCAAGAAACAACCTACTGTATCCAGATCTTCTACAGAAGCTGAGTATAGGGCGATAGCTTACACAGTCCAGGACACACTGCATATAGGTTCGATTTTGTTCGAACTTGGAGTACCCATACGCACGCCTGTTCAATTGCTTTGTGATAATGTTTCTGCTTCTTATCTGTCTACAAATCCGATTCAGCATGCACGCAACAAACATATTGACATAGATTATCATTTTGTCCGGGAGCGTGTTTCTCATGGAGACCTGCTAGTACGCTATGTTCCTACACAGTTTCAGCTAGCTGATATCTTCACCAAGTGTTTATCTCTTCAACGGTTTATTTTTCTTAGGGACAATCTGCGCGTTGTATCCCCTGCATAGATTGAGGGGTGTAATAATGTAGTAATTACCTAAAATAGGGTTTCCATATTTTGTTGTTTCCTATTGTATTTTGGACACTTATTCTATTATAAATATGACATCCAGGGCTACCTATGGGTAAGCCATTCCATTATTTCCACAATAAAGTGATCATTCAAGTTAATTTCCCACATATTGAAGAAACAGGCTAGCAAGGTGCTCGACACGTGCCTCCTCTATGAAGAAGAATGCTTGAGTGGACATGGATGTAGAGGGGGTAAGAATGGATGTTGGGTAGTACAAGCGACAGATTGGACGTTTACTTTACTTCTTGACATCACATGTGTGGTTGTGCATTAAGTCCAGGGCCGGTCCTGAGATTTTGAAGGCCCTGTGCGAAATTAAATAAAAAGACCCTAAATTATATAAAAAAATACCTCCATATCAATGTTAAAGTTAAATCCTCTATATTGATAATCAATTCAATTCTAATACGGAGTAATTAAATTTATATATTCAGAAACTACATTAAAATTTCTACAATGTTTCAAAATCCAAGTTAAAATTTAAATAATTAATATCCCAATTAAGTGAATGAAAGTCAATTTTACAACTCAATTTGGGATTGATGAAATATTATATATAACACATGGTAGTGAAAATAATACACTTAAAAATAAAAAAGTAATTATAAAATGTAATGAAAAACTTATCTTGATTGCTATAAAAAAATCATAATAAAAGAAATCTAATTTAATAAAAATTGATATAGATAACTATAAAGAAATCAGAACGTAACTTGCAAATTAAGTATATTTGGAGTACGGTAGTAGAGTAATGTAATAGCAATAATACCGTAGTTAACTTACCAATAAGTATATATACAATTAATCGGATGTAATTTTTATTGATTTCGCTCAAGTATTTGTACTAATAATGTCCATCGTATTCCAAATAGATAACTCGGTATGTTGGGATGTATCTAGCTTCGTTCCCCATGTAACCTGAGTTCGACTCCCGCATGCCTCCATGTTTTTTATTATGCTAACTATTGCTTATTGGGCCCTACGTGAACTTGGGTCCTTACTCTAACTATTGCCTATTGGGCCCTCCGTGAACTTGGGCCCTGTGCGACCGCACTGCCTGCACTGCGCCTGATGCAGCTCTTAGAGTTGTGATTTATTTAAAAGGGACTCTAGGGCATGTATTCTTTATACCACATTCGGTTGATGCAAATTAGGGAGTGTTTGCAACTGCTTCTGCTTAAAAAAAGCAGATGTAATAAAAAAGTGATTAGTAGTAAAAGTTGATAGTGTTTGAGAAAAAAATGATTTTGAAAAGTAAAAGTTGATAGTGTTTGGTAAAATAAGTACTTTTTGTGTAAGAGAAAAGGGAAAATCACTTTTCACACGCAAGCCGAGAAAAAGTAAAAATTGGAAGTGTTTGATAAATAAATGCTTTTTTAAGCTATTGCAAACACTCCCTTAGAAGGATGCATGATGACAAGACACTCCTGAAAAAGTTACTATTTATCACTTAGGGGTGCACCTATCTCATGGCGAACAAAAAAAAGACAGTTGTTTAGGCCGGATCTTTGGCCGAGGCAGTACACTGAGCCATGGCTACTACGATGAGTTAACTTACTTGGCATATTTTTGGCATTTTCTGAAATATGTGTGTTTCCAATAGGATCACTATGGAAATATTTCTGAATTATTTTTTTTGGAATAAAAACATAACAAGTCCTATTTTGAGTTTTTGTCATAGTTTTAGTCCTATTTGAAGTAATTTCTAATATTGTAACAACCAAGTTGTTCTACATATCAATATCAATCATATTTTTCATCAACGCACAAAGCACGTAGAGATGATCTACTTCGTACGGGAACATATTGCATCTAACAAGGTGGAGCCGCAGAACATTCCGACTAAGGCACATGTGACTGAAGTGCTAACCAAACCTCTTAGCTCAGACCAATTTCACTCACTTGTCAGCAAGATGGGCGTTCATGATCTTCACGCACCATCTTGAGGGATGATAAATTTGCTTGTTTTCACATACACAAGACCATGCAACCAGCTGATTGCATGAGAATTTGCTACAATTACCGGAATTATTCTTTTGGTTGCATACCATAGACGTTATTACATACTAGCTGATTTAATTTTTTATATGTTAGGTCGTTGGGTATTAGAATGGTAAATATTAGTTAATTCTATTATTAAGAAAATAAGAATAAATAGATGAATAAAACTATAGGGCAATATATACTACATATTAAACAGATTAATATTTCTATTTTTATAAGAATTATTTATTAACTTTATTATTCTATTATGATTTTATATTAATACTATTAATTAATTTATTAAAGAAAATAGAAAACCAATTAATCCGGTCCAAATCGGAACAATCCGGTTTTTTAATCAAAACATGACCACGGACTTCAAAAACAATATTTGAAAACCGAAAACCAGACCGGATATCATCCAGGTTGGTTCTGTTTTTTCAGTAGAGCCCAGTTTACTGGTTTGAACCGGTTTGTGCACACCCCCAATTGTGTTTAACATAATTTGTGCAGCTCTTTGAGCTCGTAGCTCATATATATGCATATACATGTACACAGGGACGGAACTATCAACAAGGTTAGTGGGGCCTTGGCCCCTCCCAAGTATTTTATTTTTTAATAGTATTATTAGTATTATCTAAGTATTTCATATGTCCTTTTTAATGTTTTACGAGTAGTTAGTATTTATCTGCTTATTCCCATGTCCTTTTTAATCTTTTAGTTCATGGAATTTATCTTCCAGTAATTTATTTACGAATTTTACTTGTGAATGGTTTTCAAGGTTTCCTTTTCATTTGTAATTTTTTAGTACTTGCTTGATAATTTAGTTGTGTATGGATAGTTATATGTTAATATACATGCAATATAAACTTTATAATAATATATATTATATGTAGTATTAAATTAAAGTGATACATAGTATTATTAATATGGTTGATAGAAATATCATATATATAATTTTAAATTTATTACTTAACTCATCTTTAATTAGTGAAAAAATAAATCTATATATAAGGTTTTGTTTCGAGCTCGAAGTATACGTAGTATATACATTTTATTGCTTGTGTTCATTCTTGACCCGCCCCCCTATCGTCAAATCCTGGCTCCGCCCTTGCATGTACAAATGTTTTGTGTGTAACTGTGTATCAATAAAAGGTTTTTGTTTTCCAGCATTTCCCTTTTACGATTTTCAAAGACAGGCAAAAAGTATACACGTTCAATGAAAAACTATTAATATCATGAATGGAATATAAATCTCTCACATTCTTCTCTTCATTGTGCTTGTCAATGGCATGGAGTATCAGGCAGGCGAACTCCTCATTGGTCATGTCTTCATCGATCGAGAGGTGCCGACCAAGCCAAATCATGACTTTGGAACAAGTAGTCAAATTTATCCCAGTCTATTTTGAAACGCTGTACACATAATTCAGAAAGAGAGTTTAAGCATGATTAGTGCTAGATTTTGAAGGTTTGGGTATTATGAAATATCAGGGTGTTCATCCTTCAATCTATTCTATAGGGCCCTGACCAAGCCGAGTTGCTTGGAGATCTAGCCAATACACGGTTGAAATTTAATTAAAAGATATTGAAATATAATTGAGGAAAGCAACCGTGATGGCTAATTTGGTGATGCGAAAATGCGTCATTGTGACACACCTTCTAGCTCTCCTCTTCCTTTCTTCTTTCACAGTTATCATATTGGATATTTTACTAGTGTGCTGAATAATGCATGGCATCATAAAGAAGCTCGATGGCAGGAAAACCTTTGCAAAATGCAATATCACCATTTTCTAGTGCCAGCGTACCTTTTCTATGACATCTTAATTATTCTTGGTTTACACACATAACACTAATATGTAGTATTATTACCTGACCACTTCATGTATCTAGTACCCACGACCCATCAACCATTTAACAACTTAGCATTTAATCACCACAATTCTGGATGGATTAGTAAGCCGTTTACCATCGATTTGCAATGACACTTAAACACATCAACGTGTTAGGGTTTACCTCGCTCCGGACGATTGGTCTTCAAAGAGCAGGGACTGTCAACTGTCGTTGAAATTCCTTATCTTTGAAACTCTGGATATAACTTTTAAGAATCTTCTTCCTAGCACCTTTCCATGCTTTTAGCTTTTAGTTTTTATTTTTTTTAATTTAAACAAAAGTTGTCATTTGAAAACACTCTTTTCAACTTTAGTAAATGCAAACACTTCCTGCTAGTCACACAACTTTGAAGCTCTACCGGAGTAGCACAAATCACAATTCTACCGGAGTATTCACAAGCTCTACCGGCGGACCCAGAAAATCAGAGTCACGGGGTCCCTAAATTAAACAATCCTACAAAAGTTTCCTCCTAGGATTCATTTGTTGGAAATATTCTATAATATACATGTCCGCCAACGTGTACATAAACCTATCTTTTTTAATCCACGCTGAAAATCCTATTCCCAAAATGATTATCACTAATTTCCCACTCATTCCTAAACAAATAACACGGTAAACAAAATGAAGCATCTTTGGCAATGTTGTATTCAAACCATTTATGCTCATCAAACCAACTTGAAATAAATCTACGTTTTTAGTCCCTCAATTACTTTAATAGGGAAATCATGATCCCGAGGTTGAAGTAACTATGATGTACCTCGTCTAAAACATTAGGATGAATTCAGCATGTTGTTCATGTAGATTATAGGCCAAATTAGTTTCACTAGATCCAATTCTTTATTTACTAAAGGTGAATCATTTGAATTAATATCTTAACTACTCTCGTTACACCAAATTTCTTTCAATATGGGTACACTACCGAAATATCTTTTAATCCTTAATCATAAAATTAAAAAAAAAAACATTCATGAATACATAATTTTTTAATTTAATCTTAACATTTAAAGAAATTTTATAATTAATTAAAAAACTAAATTAATAAGAAGTGGTTGAGGTATGAATGGAGATACGCAGATGGTCTGCGTTTGGAAGGGATTTAAAAAATTGAATAAAAGGACATCATTTTGATGTTTTAAAATGAATAGCATGGGGAGGCGTCGAGCCCTGCACCTCAGGGTCAGTAAGGCTTTACAAGTGCGCAAGCTGCCATTTCTCCGCTACAACAATTTGT